ACTTCCAGATGCTCAAGATAAAATTAAAACAATTCTTTCTTTTCAGATTAGTTGTTCTTTCAAAATATTTCAAAAGAAGTTCCATTATAAGCTTTAAAACATAAAAAAAAAAAAAAAAAAAAAAAAGTTTATGCAATGGAGGAAAGGAAATCCAACACGAAGTAACAAAAGTAAGAATTATTAAAGAAGCAATTTCAGCGTCATTTTTCTATTAGCAAATATCTCTTTTCCAGTTTTATTTGGCGTCTTCTGCTGCAACTAAAGAACGTTAAAGAAAAGATATTTCCGTTACTTGCGACATGATACTTACAGAGAAATTTAAAATAATAGGCAAACAACTCCTCCTCCCCCAGAAAGTTAAACAAAATCAAAACACTTTCATCTGACTTTCCCCCACAGACTTTTCGTTGCGAAACTGCTTGATGATGCGAAATACTGAAATGGGTTTTCCACCTTTCCCCAAAGAGGAAAAAATGCTTTATCGTACAAAACTCTTTTAAAATATTTCTCTCTTACTGAAAATACCGCTAGAAAGGCAAGCATATTTCAAATCTGTAAAAGCGGAGAAATTAAATGTGACTACTTATAGCTCAACTGTTTTAAGCTATTATCATTGAGGTTTAATCGTGAACGAATATAAAAATGAAATAAAGAATCATTCTTTTCGAGAAGAACATGTAGGTTGAATTATATGTTCTAATCCATGCACTATTTTAATAGATGACTGAGAATATTAATAATTATTTAATGGCTATGCAATGAACTGAAATTAAGAGACTACCCATGGCAAAAGGTATATTAGGTGACCTACCAATAAGCTTAATTTAATGACTAGCATCGGTCACTTTTGTAAAAATTTGTTTTATACAATGGTAAAAGTGTACTGTATTATAAAGTCTACAGCTTTAAATTAAATCGCTTTTTTTTTTTTTTTTTTTTTTTAAATATCATTCTGTAAATATGTTTGCTCATGAATAAATCTAATGTAATTACTGATAAAAAAATAAAGACATACGAAAGATTCCACTTTTTAAACTGGCGATCATTAATGCCACTTTCCCATTATTCATTATTATAATACAACATGATAAGAATTCGTATTGAGAAAATACGAAAAAAATAAAGACATACGAAAGATTCCACTTTTTAAACTGGCGATCATTAATGCCACTTTCCCATTATTCATTATTATAATACAACATGATAAGAATTCGTATTGAGAAAATACGAACATACCCTTAGTAGCGTCATTTCTTTTTCCATTTTTTTAATGCTCGGACAAGCAAATCATGTATCTGCATTAAAAAAAAAAAAAAAAAAAAAAAAAGAGAGAGAGAGAGAGACAAACAGACAGAAGAATTCTTCTATTCTTCTGTGCGTTAGTAATGTCAGCAACTGAGTAATTTGATCTAATACACGAGAGGGCCACAGTGACAACTTAACCATTAATCTTTTCCCTCTCAGCTGATGAACATCTAGACAGAATCTAAACAAGGAATTCATACGCTCGACGAATATCAGCCGCAAGCAAATGAAGTTAAAATTAATGAAACAAACAGCTTTTGTTCCAAAAAATGCTCTTAAAACTTTACTTGTCGGTATTTTGCAAACATGCGAGTTATCTTTGCTGCACATTATTCAAAGCGGAATTAATTTATTTCAAATTTACTTACTCGCTGGAAATAATATTTAAAATTATGATAATAAAACCTTGGAGATAAACCTCTCTATTCTAACACATATAAAAGAGATTTCGGTTAATTCTTACTTAATATAACTCAATGAAGCAAGTTTTTTTAATCACGCTACAGAGGAACTCAGGTTAAAATGCAAACAAAAGACTGCTATTTACTATAAGAGATGACACTTCAGTCATAAAAATTCATTGTTTGCATACCAAGAATTGTATTTTAAAAATAAAACGTATTACTGCAATTTGAGTGAAATTTAATCTCAACAACAAGATATGGATTTTTCTCAAAATCCTCAGAGTCCATTCGATAGAGGCATTTAATACAAAAAGTTAACAGTATATATATAACAAAAAAAAAAAAAAAAAAAAAAAAAAAAAAAAAAAAAAAAAACTCTACCTAACCCGAAAGCCTCTTGAGAGACTGTTGGTAGGGTAAGAGGGGTGGGAGACCGTCGGACCCCCGGGGGCCCTCTCCATCAAAATTGGGGGCGGAACTGAGCTAAATCCATGGAGGTAGAAAGGGAGAAGGGGCCATTCCTCGCTAAACATTCTAAGCTGTTGCACTACAAAAATATAGATTTCAAGAAAATTGCTAAAAGAGATCTGCCAAAATTTATTTTCTAGAAGATTTGAAAAGTTTGAAACTTGATGGCTAAATGTAAATATAAAATTATGTATGTTAAAATATTTGTAATTAGGCACATATGTCAGATTAAGTTTTTATTAAATAGAGTAACGCATGCAAGGGCTATCTGCCTAAAGAGAGAGATGCCATCGTGGAGGAATTTTGAAGAAAAACTGACCTTTGAGTGGGTATTAAAAATAATACTTATAATTTTCATTCAAATTATATTCATATATATTTTTTATGTAAAACTTTCGGGTGTATGCTAAATTAGTGTAAATTACTTTACACGAAAAATATAGTGAATGCACAGAAATTAAAGATTTGCACATGCCGGAAATGATAAATAGGAAATATGTATGGGTATTTATGCATGTGCTTGCAAAAAGCATGTATCTGCCTTTGACAAAATACTTAAATATTCATTAAATTATTTATAAATGTATTTGAAATGAAGAATTTATTCACTTATAAACAACTGTGATAGTACTGTGAAGAAATCTAATGATTAAATGTATCTAATTTATAATGATTATAAATGTTATCTAAATATATAATAACCTTAATATTGAATTGTAAACATAAATTGAAATCCTGTTGACAAATACGTTATAAAACTATTTAAGCAAGAATTGTTCGTATTGGAAAGCAATCTGTTAAAAGGTATTGTAAAGCAAATGCTATGAGATGAGCACTTAAGAAAGTAATAAAGAGTTTTGGAATATGTATTGTTGAAATGAAGGGTAAAAAAAAAATCTGATAAGTATAATTAAAAGAATTATTCCCCTTACATTTTATAATAACTCAGTTACAAGTTTTAAATAATACTTTAAAAAAAAAAAAAAACTTATCTTATTCCCTTTCAGAAATGTTCAGAGAAATTCAAATACTATTTAATACCTATTTAATTATTAGGAATTAGCGAAATACTTATTTAAAGTATTTCGCTAATTCCTAATAATTCTCTAATTTAAAATGAACCGAATAGAGCACTAATTATAAATTGACTTACATTTTTCGATTTAAAAGAAGCCAAAAAATCATGTCATATTTAAGAAAGTATTTTAGGAAGAAGCTCTATAAATAGAAAAGAATGCATAATTTTAATATTAATAATACAATAAACTTTGATCTTAATTTTTGTACCTTAACCGAATAAAATCGAATTACCTTAATTTTTTTTTCTAATGTAATTAACGAAAACTTTTGAAAATATTTCATTCAAATTAAACCATTCTGAGAAAACTGTCCTGTGAAAAGTATAGCATTCAATTCCGTTCAGAATGAAATGTTGTTTAAAAATATGTTGTTTTCACATACTTAGGACTCTGAAGTGTTGTAGAAAAAGAAAATATATACATTTATATGTATATTTGCGAAATTACAAAATATTTACACCCGAACGCGTCAAATCCCATAGAACTCAATGGTAAATGACCCAATGTTTTGGTCACCACGTAGGGATCGCCGGTGCTTCAGAGCAGGGTACCGAGAAACTTGTTTAGGGCGACTCCATCTTACTTCCTACCTCCATGGCTAAATCGCAATGTCACCTGCACGGTGCTCAAGGCCAACGACATGTGTATCTTGCGCTCCTTGCCAGGAAGAATTTCATGGGCTTGGGCTGACTATAGGTCAGAGACAAGTGAGCATTAGTCAACAACAACAAGGTTTTCATTTAGGATCCAAATGGCAACGTACCGATAGAAAATTAAAACAGAAATTCTGCAACGGCGATACATAATTTACAGCACAAGTTGCTAAATTTCATATCAGTGTCTCACTATCATACATCCGTCTTCCGTCTCTTTCGAATAAACCACAGTTTCAAACAATTTTTATAACGGCTTTTTCATTGAAAGAAAGACTCTCGATTCTCCTCTTTCTTTCACAAATAAAGTTGTAGATTGTACGTTTTCACCCTCTCAGTATCGAGCTAAAGAACTTGAATGGGAGTTCTTTGTTGGCAGTCTGTATTCAAAGAATTTGAATTTCCGTTCACATTCTTTGCTGTATCTGTAACGGAGAACCAGAACCGGTTACGTGGCCAGACCGGACGTGGCCAGAGCGGACAGTGCTTACAGGACACTGCGAAACTCATCGTGGTCAGAGCGGACACATTATTTTCCCCATCATGGAACAGATAAAGGGTGCAGATAAATAAGTAAATAAATACTTTTAAAAATCACAAATATAGTTTAAAACAGTATTTTAAGTGGCAAATCTCTTTCACGTGGGATAACGTTTTTTTCACCGAAGTTTTCTGTTTTTGCACTCACTCGATTATCGAATTACAAGGATAAATACATTTTTGCCAATCAAATTTAATTATTTATATTAAATTGTTAAGATATTATAGTGCAAATGCATTTTAAACATAGCAAAATGTAATAAAAATAAAAACTTTCAGAGAAATATTTAAAAATTAATAGTAAGTAACAATAGAATGAAGGGTATGAACGAACTCCAGGGATTTTGTGGAAAACTGTATTTTAGAGTCAAATAAATATTAGAACAGATGCAACTGCCATAAAATTAATTAGTTTCATTAATGTAAGTAAAAATAAATACTAAAAGTAAAATATATAAAACAGATACAAGTAAATAAAAGAAAAATAAATACAAGTAAATAAATACTAATTAACCTTTATTATAAAGGCATAATATCATTTACCATTGGATTTAGTCCAACCTAGTTACAAAACTTAAAGATTTCAGACATTTTTCTAAATTGTTTGATGTTTCGAATTCCTTAAGGATGTTTTCAATTCTTTCATCCAATTTTACGTATGTTTTTTTCCTTTTTATTCCAGGGTCGCCTAATTCTCTGGATTTCAAATTAAAAGACACTTTTTGTGTTCCTTCTTTTAGTATTCTGTCTACTAAGTGGACATTAGGCTGGTTTCTGCCAGTGATTGCATTTAATTTGGAATTCCACCCTTCAACAGAATTATTTGTCCTATGACGCTGTCCATATACGTTCCATACTTTAATGGGCATATTTGGATTGTCCATCCACTGCTCGACAAAATAATCAATGAATGTGGTAAGTTTGTCAATGCTAAAAGCTTTTTCCCATACAATGCTCCAAGCATCATCTATGTGTTCCATTGGCAAGTAAGCTAATGCAGAAATCATTCTACAAACATTTCTTATATCTTCGTTCTCTTTATATTCCTTTACTAGACCCACTTCTTGTATCTTACGCACAAACATTGATTAAAATGAAAGTTACAACCGGAAATAGTCGAACTGGGAAATTCTAACATACAACTATTGATGGCTGCGGCTTCAAAATCCAATTTTATAATGTCCGGCTTCCACTTAGGGCACCAACGTTTCACTTCCTGAAGCATTGCAATGTAAGTTGCTTGTCTCTTATCAGGCAGAAATGCAAAAAGCGCTGGGTAAACGTTGGTCTCAGTTGCTGTACTCCTTAAATCAACGTGTATTGTATATATTTGAGCAAATTGTTTCGGACAACTTTTAAATGTTCCATTTAAGAAAAAAGTCTTTCCATTTTCCAAAAGTTACAGAGATTCTTCTCCTCCAAATACTAAAATCCTGTTACCTTGGTCATTTTTGAAAGTCTAAGCGAAGAAAGTTTTCTCCATTAGAAAGCAAAAGTGTATCGTTTGCAAACTGAATGTCATTGGCATTTTGGGGATTTTGAGTAGCTCCCAAAGCCTTTCTCCTCTCCTTACATAAAGCAGTTTTGGCATTAGAGTATGTCGGTATTTTAGCAACGAAATCATAACCTTTCTGATATAATTCTGAAAGTTCTTCTTGAAATATCTGGGGAACGGGAACTGATGTTTCTTCTCGGACTCTTTTTCTGCAAGTCTCTAACTTCCTTTTAACTTCGATCTCAGCAACGTTGGGCGGGCAGGAATGTTCAGTTTTCTTCAGTACTTCGTACTGAAAATTTGTCTTCACATTTCCTTTACAATGATGTGTCTTTTCTTTACACATACCCAACTCATTCCTAATTTATTTTTTCGGTTGTAAACGGTGTGGGGTAATCATCTACAACTAACATTCTTTTCCTTTTTTTGTAGAGAGTAATTTTGTTGAAATGGCTATGGGTTCCATCACAGATTTTTTCGACGATATAAAACGACATACATACTTCAGAATCGAACATCTACTGAGAAAATGAGAAAGGCCTTCTCTCTCAAAAGTATCGGCTTATCTCTACAGCAGGTGCAAAGCTCGAAACTACACAATAGATCACATTTGACTGATTAAGGAAATAACACAACAGGTGCAAGAATGTCCGCTCTGCCCACCCAGCTTCCCTCACGTGTCCGCTGTAACCACTTTCCGCTCTGACCACGTCCGCTCTAGCCACACCACCATCAGAACCATGGTAAGCCTTTCCATGGTAAGCCCCAAGTTATCCGTCGTTGTTGGATGTTGTGTATTATGTGTCAGAGCCGAAACATCGCATTAGACAATTTTCTTCCGAAATACTGACTTGTGACATGGCTCTAAGAACAGGAGCTAAATATTCATATGATAAGAAAAGCAGTAAAACAATTTGGTAACATAAAGAAATATTTCAAGTAATTTAATAATGATACTGAATTTTATAATCAACATAGTTAGTTAGTATTTAAATATAAATAAATAATTCTTATTGCTCTTGCACTGTATTCAGGAAAGTTTGTCCCTACGTCGCACAAATTCTAAACTTTTGTACAATGTAATAAAATCAAGCCCTTCATTACAATAGTAACAAAAAGATATGCCATTCTTTACAGAAAGAAAAAAAAAAAAAAAAAAAAAAAAAAAAAAAAAAAAATTCCATTTGAGTGAAGAATAAGGCAGTGGTATGAAACACAGAAAAGTGCTCCTTAACCTTCTAAAACAAGTGAGGGTAGACACAGCATTTAAGATGAAAACCTTAATTTAATATACGAAAATTATTTAAAATACGCTTTCAGGTTGGCAGTGTTCTTACATTAAAATAAATACATAAATAAATAAAATTTAAAAAAAAGTTTTCTTACACAACTAATGTAAAAACCGGCATATCTTAAATTAATAAAATAATTTATTACATTTAGATTGGATATCAGTAAGATTTTAAGTAACGTAAATCATTAATTCAGAGTGTTTTAACTGTATTTGTCTTTTCTGCCATCTTGATAGCCCTCACAGATTCTGTAAGTAATATAGCTAAGATATTAAATCGCAGAGGTAGTGCACAGTTTAAAATTGTTTAAAATTAATGGGCACACGATTTAAAAAAAAATTCAACTACTGATTATCAAAAAAGTATGTCGCAGCCCGATTTCTGTTTCATTTGGGAATGACATTTCAAAAATGAAACTATTATTCATTAAAACGTCAGCCATATTGTAAAGGCAAACAGCCGCAGTTTGGTCATGTTTGATATATAGTAGAAGTGCAATTTACTAATTATACTAAAAGTGTAAATATCAACAAAACTTTTTGCAAAATAATAAGACATACAACGTCTTTTTAAAAGGATTAATTTGATAAGCAATATAATCGTATATAGTATAAAAATTTCAGCGATTTTTATGACTGCTTTATTTTAGAAGAGAAGTGATGGATATGTTAGAATCTATTGCATTAACATATAAGTTATGTGGAGGCCCTCTCTCTCTCTCTCTTTTTTTTTTTCTTCTTCTTCTTTGGAGTGTGAAAGGTTGACTGGATTGTGTGTATTTTATTAATAAGATTACAAAAGTTAACTAACTGAAAAGTCTTATGCTGCATGAGTCAGTAACAAACGTTTTTTTTTTAACTCAGACATGATTTTCGGACCCGGACATTAAAACGTTTTCAAATTATGTAAGCTAAGTACACGGTAAACTTTGTTTAAATTATTTCCCACAGGTTGATTAACACTATCTAATACAGAAGTTTACATATTTTTATGACAGTAAGGTATTAACTAAAAAATATATGCTAAATTTGTTTTTCTAAGGCAGGAAGAGAAAAAAGGAAAGAAAGGGATGACAATTCTCTTTTGAATATAGAAACTCATGAGATCCATTTCGAATAAACGTAAGCGAATGAACCGGCTGATTAAAGGGGGGGGGGGAACTCTTCGTATCTGAAAATAATTTCAAACTGCAGACATGACACTGGTTTTTACTGCATGTGATGGAGGTTTCGAAATGATACAAGTAGCTGGAATAATCAAAATAGATCTAGGAAGTTATTAAATGCTTCAATTCGTGAAAATAAAATAAAAAAATTTCTCACGGAAAATAAACAGCAAGCTACACATTTAACAATGAGCGTTGTTTTACAAAGATATTACTATTAATCGATAAAATAATAATCATCAGTTATAATTTTCAATTAGCGATAAAATCCCGTTAGTTACAAATAAAGATTAGAATCATAAAATCACCCTTTTGCAACAGAAAAAATGTTTGAACTCATTAAGAGATAAAGCATTTTAAAATTAAAGTGCTAACTTTATAAATATAAATAAATAATTCTTATTACTCTTTCTTAAACTTCTTCTTCTTTTCTTCTTCTAAACTTTTTCTTCTTTAAAAAAATACATTCGTAAAATTCAAAAAATTTGCAGAAAATATTTTTTTTTTTTCCACACAGAAAAAATAAGCATATCATTCTGATCTTTTTTCGTAGCAACACAGAAAGCTTTTATTCTAGCTTAGAGTAATTGAATAATATGTAAAATAAAACTAATAGCTTCTTTCCGTTTTTAGCCCACATGCATTACCTTTGGAAACAATAAAAATATATGAGATGGGGCACAATATGCAACAGCGAAACTATATATATGCAACGGCGAAACTATATAATGAGACATGCGAAAATTATTTAAAAATAAGTTGTGAGCATACTCGTTTGTTTGCACAAAAACTAATGCTTTGTATTTTCTGACAAAATCAACATGAGAACTAACATATGAAGAACAAACCTAACGCTAAGTTAATTTATAAGGTATTTCCCCCGCCTTCCTAGCGTGCCTTCGTGGTGTAGTGGCCTGCACACTGAGCCGGTATTTCAGAGGTCTGTGGTTCGATTCCCGGTAAGGCGTTGCTAATTTTTCAATCTCTCTTGCTTCCAAAAAATCCGAATGTCTCTACAAACTCACTAGAAGCAAAATATTTCTTTCAGTACAAGTTAAACATATCCGTAATGCCGTCTGGTAAGATTTGATCTACATCATTAACGCCAGGGTCATGCCGATGTATTTATCTTTTCTACTATCCCCACAGATTTTACACATCTAAAACTACTACCGCCATGACAGCAAGTTGAAGAAACGCAATTATTTGTTTTTTAGTTTATCAGGTTCAATGTTCCTTCTAACCTTCTTCGGGAACATACAAGGACCTGACTAGGAACAGAGAGCTTACTAAAGCTATGTTCACTAATTGTAGTAAGTAGACAGGATACAGACGAAGGGTATACAAAACCCTTTATATTTTTCTCTATATACAATGACTTCCGTACTTCGGAATACAATGACCCTCCACTCGGGGTCTAACGTAAAAAAGTATAAAAATAAAACTAAACTCTAATTTAACTTTAGAATAATACACGTGGAAGATTGGCCTTATAATAACAGGAAGCGTATGTAGCACAGAGACTGTGAACACTACAATACGTTTAATTTATCAAGAGGATTAAAACCTCTGGCCTGGAAGGCGAACAGCAACTGCGTAACTTCTAAGGTAAGCGGCCTGCGTTGACTTACTGCTTCCTCTCTTTCGCTTGGCAAAAAGGCCACACTTAAATACTTGGCATTCGCCAGACAAACTTTGCATAAAAAACCTTCACGCTTATAATTCTGGCCGGAAGTAGAAAATAAGAAGTGATAGTAAAGATTTAAAATAAAATAAACGTTAGTAAAACTTAAGATCCTTACATACTTCCCGCCAGAGTTAATTAGTTTGAAACTGAGGTCTAAAACGACCTTGTTGAAAACTTTTAGCTCTAGAATCTAACGCGAGGCCAACCTTTTACAACCATAACTTCTCTAGAAACTAGAAAATTTAAAAGAAAGAAATTTGTTACAATAGCAGCTCCCAGGATATACAACAATCTTTTTTTCATCTGTACTGCATCTAAACAGGAGCTTTATTCAATTCTGGTTCCTTCCAGAGATCTGGAAGGAAAACTAGTTTAATGAAATGTTACACAATGACATGGCAAGTAACATATAGAATTATACTGCTCTTAACATTCTTATTTCATTC